TACAGACCCAACCCACTCTGCTACCTCATCTTTGTTTGCAGATTGCGATTCAGACACAGTTTTGTCCCTGGACCATCACTTGTCTGAACACTGCCCACCTCAGCTAACTCTCTCACCACATTTGCCACCCAGCCAGACTAACAGTCAGTACAACCCACGCATACAGTGCTGGATTCAAGTACTTAAGTAAATATAGCATTAGCAACAAAAAGCGGTGGTGTTTGTGTGTCGTCACTTCACAACAGTTTGTTATTGTATTGTACATGTATAGAGCTACTATCTACTTGCACATATTTATATATTATTTATATGCACAAGATTGGAAGATATACCATATTTTTTTATTTAGGAAAATGTTTTCTTAAAAAGTCAAACATTGAAATTTAGTTTATTTCTTTCTTATGAAATTAAACACTGGGGGGCCAACAATTTGATTGCACTTTGCATTGGCAAAACGGAAATCTTAACTGAAAAAGACTCAAACATCCAGTCCGTCTCCAATTAAGGAGCTGCTCTGGTAATACAGGGTCTTTGTTTAGTCGGTTATCAGAATTATTTTCCCCTTAAAGTTATGAGCGGCTTTTGGTCATAACACGAATAATTATGTTGGTGCATATAACATGGGTGGAGGATCGCAACGCTAACTTGCAAAACATCTTCTGCTCATATTGTTATGTTACACATTTTCAATGAAAGCTGCAGATAAATGAATGTTTATGTCAGACCATCTTGATTCTCCCTCGTGCTGATATGTTATGCTGATGGACACATACTCTCCCTTTCTCTCTCACACACACTCACACCACCATCAAGTTTGCCTGGAGGTGTGGGTGCGAAAGAAAATTACAAGTCAGCAATTTTAAGGTGTGAAAGTTGCTCTTGCTCTCCACGATATTTTTTTATTTCCTATTAAATATCATTACACTCATATGATTATGCATTAAAACCACACTCATGCACACGTACAATTCTGCACACACGCGCACACACACATATATGCACCGTGTCTCTCTGTCAAAGACAAACTCACCTAGTTCACACTGCGTGACTGCCCATGTGATGCTCATCCTTGTCGTCCATTTCATTAGACAGGGGGGCCGAGTGAGCTATTCTGGGAGAGAGCAGTAACTCTTTGTTGGTTGTTCTGCTGAAGAGACGTCTCCAATAGCAACTGAGACCTATTGCCTACCCCCTGCGGCGTCTAGCTCTCATACTTTCGCTTGTGAGTGTCCATGTCTGTCTGTGAGTGTGTTTGCATGGGCTCGTCCCCCTGTGTGTGCGGCCTTTAAGTGTGTACCTGTGTTTTGCATGTGTTGTTGTGTCTGTACAGACGAAACAGGATGCGATCTATCACTCGCGGATCTATAACGGTGGCACACAGCGAGGGATGAACACTTTAGTGTCAGTTGCAGATGAGGGAGATGAGCAGAGGAGAGGAGTGATGTGACTGTTATCGATCCTGCCTGGTAATTACAGTGCGATTTATTACCAGAGAGAGGGGGGGGGGAGAGAGGGGGAGACAGAGAGAGAAGGTATCATATTTAGTTTGGGGTTGTAAGTCAGGTTTTTGGCGAGAGTGAACAAGGTCAGAGAGAGACAGAGATAGGTCACTTTACCTCTCCCTCCCTTGAGTGCTGTGCGATCTGATCACTGTTGTGCTTTCTGGCATCCTCCCCCGTCCTTTCTCTCTTCACTCATTTATATATCCTATTTTTTGAATCCTCATACAACCATATGATACTGTGAGCACTTATTTGTTAACACGTGCAGACTCATTTGCAAACACTCTTGCATACATTTGTCAGAAGCATCACTCGGGGATGAAGTGTTGAAAAGTGTTGTGATGAAATGGAGGTGCTCGCTGTCACTCTAACAGCAAGCCTGCTAGTGTTTGTGGCTTATAAAAGTGTGGGAGAGTTGGGTTGTTTACAAAGATGTGTGGGCGTTAGGCATGATTTTTGTGGGTATGTGTGCGCATTCATGTGTTTCTGTTTGTGTGGAGGCAATATTGTTCCTGAATAGATCAAAAAGCAATGTTCTTATTGGCCTACCGCATCCTGTCTTTCAATGAGACAACACAGAAATGTACACCTGTACCAAAACACTCTACTACGATCCTACTCACGTAAATGTTTGGTTGTTTTGTCCTGACCACTTACTGTTTTGCTTTCTAACCTAAATAATGTTCATTTCATTGCATTACCACAACTAAAAATCAAGACACATTGATTTTTCATTTCTTACTTTGCTTTCATCATTGCACACAAGCATAATGTCTATGACAGTGAAGATTTCAGTGAAACTAAAATTATATTAAAATTGTTTGTATTGGAGTTCTACATACATACACACAGAAAAAAACACATACAACGACACAATGAACACAAAGAGAAAGCATTAATAACTTTTCAAACTAACTGAAAAGAAAATGCAAAAAAGTGTAACCATAGAAAATAAAATGATTTGTTTCTTATAGTTTTCTCATTCTTATAATAGTTGTTGCTCCTATTATTCTTACATATATGCATATCATATTATACTAACGGATGGATGAGATTGAAATTAGAAGTTTATCTGGAACTGCTAAATAAATAATTGATTTGATATTATTCTTAGCAGAGTATAGTTTGGTGGTGTATTTTGCTATGGTAATCCTGCTTTTGGCAACATTCCAGTAATAGATTGATTTGGGTCTGGTTATTCTATACACTGGACTCTTTTTTTCTGTGCGTATGAGTGTGTGGGAGTGTGTGCACATGTACATGTGTGTGCTGTCGTACATGTCTATCTTTGCCTTATCAATCTGGAAGCGCTGTATTGATTGGCCAAATGATATTTCATCTAATATGCTTGGGGATGAGGTGTAGGAGGAGGGGGGGGGAGCTTTCACTTAGCCTCCAAGCTCTTAAGAGAATATATATCTGTCAACATTTCCAGGCATGGGGGGTCAGGAGCAGGTAGGTGGTTCGATTACACACAGAGAGAGTAGAGGTAGCAGGAATCATTAAAATAGCAACAGCATCAAGCAGCCAGCACACCTAAGCAAAGCTTGAGCTTGTTGTTGTTTACACTGTGGGAGGCAAAGAGCTGATGCATCTCAGAGAGCTGCTAGTTTGAGCAATAGATCCGGCTCTTTGTGGAAACCGCCAGGAGAGAAGAGTATCATTACTAGTGCAAGGGCTCAGGGTCTAGTATGTGTTCAGTGCGAGCATGCAACAATCTGTCCTATGCTTTGTTTTGTTTTTAATTAGGGGGGTAAAGCGTGACTGTTGCCCTGTCTGGATGCCTGACTCCTGGGATGATGTGATGTATCATGATGATAATGTCTTTCCCTGTTTTTACACCCAAGCTCAATTTGCTCTCTTCAGGCCTCGAACGGGACTAACAGAGCCACCATTTAGCTCTCAGCAGGGAGAGAGAAGAGGGGGAATCAGTCGCTCCTCCTCTCTTATCTCTCACTTAACAAAAGCCTGTGATGAAGACAACAAGCATTCTCCCGCTCTGTCTCTCTTATGCTCTCTCCCATTTGTCTCTTGCTCTCCTCTGTTTAACTGTCAGAGTGCTAGTTGAACATGGCAGCTCCGACATTTTTCACATCTCTAGTCCTTTGTTGTGTGTGCTCACACATGTGTGTGAGCGGCTGCATCATTGCGTGTTTTGTTGTGTAAAGCACAGGCTTGCCTGTGTCTCTGTCCTTGCTTGCCAATGTTTGTGCTTTGTAAACTTGCACCTTGGCCTGTGGGTCAGAGTAAAGCTTTCCATTAGAGTGACCATATGCTTATTATGTGTTTGTTTGCATTGTCTTCCTTCGCTTTCTCAGCAGCTCTTTTGTTGGCAACAGTGAATGTCTCCGTAATTATTTTTAGGTTCAATACAAACACCTACACCTTGTAGCCTACAATGTATATGCACAGCTGTATAGTTTTCATTTCTGGCTTATTGTCTCCAACTAGCACCATTGCAGAATTGGTTCTTCGCTTTCAATGTGGAGGAAATGGGTGAACAGCCTCTCTAATTACACTTCACCCACTGACACTAATTTACATACAAACACAATCGCACTCCAATCCAAACCTTCATTATCTCTGGTTTCCATTCTGTAGGGGATGATATTCTGGCTGTTATGTTTCATTCAAGCACTGTTTCTCAACACCACTGCTTCATTACACTAACTGAGAGCTACAAATAGGGTTTCCAGTGAGATGGTACTCTTTTTCAAACTGAGGGTGACTAAAAGGAACATGATACAAGTATGAAAATGGGTTTCTCAACGCTCTGTGTTCATTATGTGCACTGTCTGTGTATGTGTGTGTGTGTGTGTGTGTGTGTGTGTGCCCCAACATCACCGTCTAAGAGGTGACAGCACAGCTGTGTGTCTGTCTTGCTTCGGGTTCATACACTTTCTTCACGCTTCGGACTAGTGTTCTCACTCTCAAACACACACCATATGCACACACACACGAAATCAACTCTATTGTAAGGCCATTACAATGTGAATGAGGGGCCCACCAGCACCACTGAGATGAGTGTAAGTAAGTGCGTGTCAGCGCAAATAGGTTAGAGAGATTGATGGACTAGTGCAAAGGGAGAAGGGAACACCTAATCAAGTTAAAAACACGGTGTGATTGACATGCTGTGCTTGGTTGATTGACATTCTGCAGAAGTAGGCTTAATGGGGCTGATTCACGAGCGGGTGAACATGCACAAGATCAGAAATATATTCCTGTATTCTTTCCCATGCTTGTTACCATTCCAGATTATGTGAAAATTCATTTTTTTACGACCGGTGTAGTCTAAGTGTTCCACTTCCTTTTATCCTTGAGTACTACAACTTGTGCAAGAAGCGAAGAGAGAATCAGCCAGGCGCGCCATTAACTTGCACCGGTGAGTATCCGCGCGTGACATCCCTCATCTGACAAACAACTAACGGGCCGTGAGCTTTTACCGGGGCCAGTGATCGGTGATGCCCGAGAAAACGGCTGTTTGTGTCAATCAAAACCGAGTCCCCCCCTCAACACACACACACACACACACACACACGCCCTCCTCTGTCTCTCTCTCTCTCCCTCGATGGCCTTTGCCTCTACTTGTGTAGGCGCTCTTAAACCGGAGCATTTACGCACGGCATTCAGTCGTTGACGGGCTGGCTGATATCGGTGCTCCTCCGTCTACACTCGCTGGCTGATCTCCACCTGAAAGAGCGGAGATTAAGGGTGAAGTGAGGAGAGCGGGAGAGAGAGGAGAAGACAGCGGGGGAGACGAGAGAAAGAGAAGAATGATGACAGGGGGGAGGAGAGCCGATCATTCCGGCTGTCCGCATCTGCTGCTCTAGCGGAGGGTAGTGAGTGAGAGAGAGAAAGAGAGAGGGGGAGAGATGGCATATCGCTTAAGCATCCAAAACACACGGGAGTGGTTCGCCACCGAGACCGGAGCCCCGGATCCACCCGAAGCAGCACCACACTCGCCGCTCTCCCTTCACGCTTCTTCTCCGCACGGCAGCGCCTCAGCCTCGGCCAGAGGTAAGTGGGCGAGTCGGTGCTCCTTCTTAACATAAACTTCTCCGGCAGAAAGCGGGATGTAAAGTCTCTGGAATTATCTGCCGTTAGTTTGAGTTCATCTTTCAGCCTGACAATAGCCAGTGGTATTTATGCTACGGGTTGCTTTCTTTTTCGTTACAGATTTAACCGCACAAATAGCATATTAGACTGGATTGATTACCATGATTGTGTGTTGGTCCTGTTTTTTAGTGTACACGATACGTAACACCACGACCCTTCATTCACTGTTATTAATCTAATTTAATTATCGTTGGATGATTTTCCCATGGCTTTCAAAAATGATTGCAGTTATAAATAACAGTAATTTTTATTATTATGACCTGACCTCTCACTGAAATACAAAAAAGACACTATTCATTTTGAAGTTGAATACATTTGGTTTACAATTTGTAATTTTAAAATGGTCCCAAACTTTTTTTTTTCCCATGAGTCATTTAACAAAAAGCACCAACACAACTAGTAGGCCTATATTTAGCTTTTATTAATTTTGCATGATTGAGAATACCATTTAGTTATTAAAATGCCAAGATGAAAACTTCCACGCAAACTCACATGTGTTAATCCAATTCCAGCGCCCTCCTGTGGGTCCTAATAGTGAGACACATGCATACCTCCAGTAACAAGTTAAATGGGCACTCACTTCTAGTTGAGACGCTCAGCTGTAAGTCAAATTTTATGCTTTTCCTCATTTAACAAATCAAAACACCTGTTTGAATTAACCTAAGAATAAGAGTAAGTGCACGCTCTTTTTCTTGGTAGACTCCAGGAGACAATTTCCTCCACACTTGTACAACTCGTAACACCACAGAAACTATTTAAGAGAAGTAGTGCAGCCATTGAAGTAACAACTTATTTATCAAAAAAATGATTATTTTCTCCGCTGTGTTGGCTATAAAGGAAAATACTAAAAGTTCTTATGTCTTTCGGTGTCATATTTAAGGAATATAGCTGTCCCTCCTCTATGACCTTCTCTTTGCATTTGTTATCTAAAGGCAAGGAACAAGGAGAGAAGTGTGGGGAACGTGAGGGAAGACTATTGATATTCAAACAGACAGAAGGAGAGAAAGAGGTGGTGTAGACAAGATAGAGAGAGGGGGAGAGTGAGGCGAAGAGCGAAAAGAGAGAGAAAGAGATGCTGTGGGATCTTTTCTTCTCCCTGGCTCCGGGCACATACATTAAGATGCTAATCCTGGTCTTTTTTGTCTCTTTCTATAATTCATTGCATTTTGTTCCTCTCTGATCGGTCTCTCTTATTCGTGCACTTTTCTCTTGCTCTCCATTTCCTCTGTACTGTCATGGGCTCCCCCCGGATTAGTGCTCCTAGCGAAAGGATTCCAACTCTAATTTTGTGGTATTTCAGATGATTAGGTTCAGAAATAGGACAGAAGTGCACAGAGTTTCGCGCAATTATAGGAATTCTCCGTCGAGCTTTATGGGACTGATTAGTTGAGCTCCCCTCCACCTCCCCACACTACCACATTAACACAGAACCAGCTGTTGTTTATTTGTGAGGATTGACTTTTGTCTTATGTTTATGCTTTGAAATGTGATGTCACTTTGTGTGTGCGCGCCAGAGGTTGTATAAGCCCTAAGGATACAAGTTGTTGTTCAATCAACTCTGTAGTTACCAGCTGTGCCCTCACATTCCCTAGAGTTGCACAACCTAGGTACACGCACACCCGCGAGCACGTTCACATGGAACTAATGCATACTATTCAACCTTGCCCAACAAATTCACTCTTTCTTCTTTTCTCCTTGTCCCCGTTTTCTGCAGGCATTAATCATCACTCCCTCCTTCTCTGCATGTGATTCCTCCGTGAGGATTGGAAGGAGAGTACCTCGACTGCATTTCCTCAATGAAGACCTTTGTTCCCCAGCATCCGGCACAGCTCCCTTCTCCACCTGCCATGGTGACATGACACACCCCTGAGTGGCTTTGCTCCTTTGTCGAACACCCAGACAATCTCTTGGGCTCCTCAAACCCCCAAACTCGTGCACGCGCTCTCTAGGCTCCAGCATACTGAAAAAGACATCTCCCCCTCCTACGCACAACACCTCCCCACTTCGCGATGACGGTGGCCGTGCGATTCCGTCGCCACTTGCGTAGGCTCCTGCTCCTGCTGGCCTCCTGCTGTCTCCTCTCCCTCCTCCTCTCTGCTTACTTTCTGTTTACAAACTCCTCCCCTTCCATGCAGCTTGGACAATCCCCCGAACCTGCCTGCTCCCAGCCGCTCTCCCCCTACCATCAACTTCCATACCCGTACCCCCCTAACCCACCTCACACACATATCCACACTGATCCAGTTGTGCTGGTGCTTGTGGAGTCCCAGTACTCCCAGCTGGGTCAGGACATTGTGGCTATATTGGAGTCAGCACACTTCCAGTTTCGAATGGAGATTGCCTCAGGAAAGGGCGACCTTCCGCCGCTGACAGAGAAAGGTCGTGGCCGATATTCACTCATCATTTATGAAAATCTATTAAAGTATGCACATGCAGACACATGGAACAGACAGCTGTTGCATCAATACTGCACTGAGTACAGAGTGGGCATCATAGGTTTCTACCGCTCCACAGAGAACTCTCCACCTCTCCTCAAACTCAGAGGCCTCCCAGTGGTCCTTCGGACCAACCAGGCACTTTGGGACTGCTGTGTGGTGTCTAGTTCACCTCTCCTCCACCTGACCAAGCCCGGCACAGATCGAGGGGCTTTACCTGGGGACGACTGGACCTCCTTCTCCTCCAATCACTCCACCTACCAGGCTGTGCTGCATGCACGGGCCAAGGAGGGTGCAGGGACAGGTAGTGGCGATAATCCAGGGCCTGGCTTTAGTTTAGGCCTACAAGCCACTGTGGTGCAGGACATGGGACTATATGATGGAGTGAGGAGAGTGCTATTTGGCCAGGGACTAGGCTACTGGCTCCACAGACTCATCCTGGTGGATGCCATCTCCTACCTCACAGACAGGAAGCTTACTTTGGGTCTGGACCGGCACATACTGGTGGATATAGACGACATTTTCGTGGGAAAGGAAGGGACACGTATGAACGCCAAGGATGTGAAGGTATTGAGGGTGATGGGTGTGTGATAACGTGCATTGGAGCAAGACAGAGTGGAATATAGAGAATTAATTATTGTGGGGTCAGTGATGTTGGATTATATTTTCAATTCCGCTTCTATCAACTTCTAAAAACAGTAATTGATGGCTGTGCAGTGGTGAAAATATGGAATGTTCACTTATTGCTGTGTAAGTCTGCAGACACCTCAGCAAAACATTTTACCTGGAGTGTATTTTTGAGGATTTTAGCTTGGGCACAGGTGTGCCAAAAGGGTATTTAGGTAAACGTTTGTGTGTGTGTGTCTAATGTCTGTGCGTGTTGTGTGTTGGGGTACAGCGAGAGGCTATTTATCTCAAATGGAGGTTTAGCCAGAAGTAAAGAGGCCATTTAAGGGAACAAAGGCGTGAAGTGAAAGAGAGAAAGCGAGGTAGTGAATGAGCCTGTGAAAAGATGAATGGCACTTATTCCTCTTTTCCCACGTTCCTCCTCTTAGGGAAACTAAAGGAGAGTCAGCCATGCAGCCCGCCTCTCAAGACACCTATTGTTTCAACACACACGCTTGCATGAGCAAACACACACACACACACACACAATGCATAGACATATACATATACTCAGACCTCCTCAAATAATTAAATTTGCATACATTCAAATTCATTCATACCGTAATTTCTGTAGGAATTTAAAAATATAATATATTTCAATATAGGGGCAAAACAAACTTCAGGTTTACTGGGGCAAACAAACAGAAGTGGATAAAACAGTTCTACAAAAATAACTTTGTTTGAAATCAGTGGTCGTATTCTCCCACTGTGTCCTCACTCTGGGCCATTCAAGAGAAACTAATTGTGTTTGGTGGGTTTTTTAATGTGTTTGGAGTCTGTGTGCGTGTGGGACTTTAAGACGGGTGAGATTTATGCTGCTCTGCGCTGATGTGCATGAGCTAATCCTGTCCGCCCAATATACATGGTAGGGAACTGTGTGTGTGTGTGTGTGTGCGTGTTCGAGTGTTTTCTGAATCACTACTTTAGATTAGAATGTCACTCCCCGTCAATGGTTGACACCTGTCCGTGGCTGAAACTTGGGGAGAAGATGAGAGGAATGGGGAGGCTGAGAAAACAGGGGGGCAGTGTGTGGTGAAGTGGAGAGGAATTCCACCTTTGAATATAAAAAAGACTCTTGAATCCAAAAAGGATAAAGGAATGCATATTCACACACACACACACACACACACACACACACACACACACACACACATATACACACACACACACACACACAGAGTGCACACACGCATTCACAAAATGAGCACACAAGTGCTCTCTAGTTGGAGTTTTCATTTTAAGTCTGCCTGACTCTTCAGCTTTGTAGCATAAATATACATGAGGATGAACCAGTGCCTTAACAGAAGGACAGGGAGATGGAGGAAGAAGGGAGAGGGAGGTGGAGATAGAGAGGGAGAGGTAGAGGGAGGGAGAGAGAGAGAGGGGCAGAGAAAAAAAGACGAAGACGTGATGTCATTTGAAACACACACACTCCTTCCACATTTCTCCCTTCTCTTCTCTTTGCAATCACAGCTAGAAAGACTGGAGGGAGGGAGGGGAGGGTGGAGTATGGGACCTCGGGGAAGAGCTAGCAGCTAATTTCAGAGAATACTCTCTGAAATACTGAGGGGAAATTGGGAAGCAGAGGAGGGGAGCAGGAATATAGTGATTTGTAGCAGCCCCCAGGTAGAGTTGTCAGATTACTGTTTGAACAAGGCTTATGTACAGTGACAAGTGTGTAAATCTTGTAGGTCCACAATTATGTGCATCAACTAATTTATCTCACTGTTGTCTAAATGTATTTTATCTTTGTCGTGAGGCAGGGGTTGTTTGATTAGTAAATCCATGGATAGTTTTCAGATTGACCCTTCAATGGAACTCTTTCCCCTCCAGCAGAGTGCCATTGAAGAGCTGTTGAAAGGATGACTCGTAATAGATGAGCAAGTGTCAAATGCACATCTAGCGTTGGGTGAAGGTGACAGCTGAAAAGAGGGTTCTTCATTTTAATAAAAATGATTAATGCATGTGGAATCCGGGGAATTATTTAATCATGAAAGCAAGACGCTTGCACCAAGTTAAGTTGAGGTTGTGTAAAATCGGTCTTAGGTTAAATTTGGGTCAGAACAAACTGACTGATGGCCATGATGACATTACAAAAACAGGTTTATTCCACAAATCTACATTTAAGCAAGATACCTCTGCTGTGATGACATCTAATACCATTCTTTCTATTCTAACACTGCAAAAAAATAGATTTTACAATAAGCAAACATCCGTCACAAGACACCACAGCACAAACGTATCGCGGTGAATCATTAGGAATGGCACACAAATTATGTGAAGATGTAAATCCTCTCTCATTCCTGGTGCTTCAAAAATAACTTATGTCTAACACACAAGTATGTAACAGGATGTGTTATTGACCAATTAGTAGGACAAGGCGTTTGCAGTGCCAATGTTACAAATCCCCTCTTACCTCTGTAAAGCCAACATTCAATCTCCTGTCTCTCCTGGAGTGAGACAGAGAGACAGAGAGAGAGAGAGGCCAATTAAAATGCCTCCCTCCTTCTCTCTGCACTCTTCATTAGTCTCACCCCACGAGTTCATCTGGTGACAAACAATACCTACACCCCCTCCTATCGGTGCGCACGCACACTCACACACACAGCTGTATTCCCTCTATTAAAATGATTCACAGTGAGGCACCTCACGGATGACATTTCTCAAAATGAGGGATGATGCCAGTCAAAAACTCCCATCAATGATTTGCGCGTGCCGGTGCTTGTGTTTTTTTTAATTCATGTCTGCAGGTTTTCCCCTCTTCTCTGCCTCGGAGTGGTTGTTAGGGAGGTGTCCGGTTCTCATCTTCAGATCCCTCTTTATCACCTCGTCCTTCCTCCTCCTCCTCCACTCACCTTCCTCACCCCCTCCTTTACCCGAGTCATTGATCACCATCTCCAGCCTATTTGTATTCCTCCCTAAGCCTCCCTCTCAACTCGTTGGCACTCTTTCCCTCCACAAAGTGTGTTCTGTAGTGGTGTCATCTCAGTTGAGGGGGACACCCACATGTGAACACACATACTGTACATGAAGCCAAGACACGCACTCTGTTAGGCTACATTTACTTGAACTGAATATATTTAGCATTCATTATACAGCCTTTATGTATCTAAAGGAAGGTAGTCGCTCAGTGATATGCACAGTTACCTCATACTCGGAACCATTCTGTGTAGCATTTGCAAATTATCCTCATGTTTGTGTGGTTTTCTGTTGGATGGATTGTTATGTCAAAGGAAATCCCCTGTATTTTGCACATTTTATGTTGCTGCAGTCTCTTGTTCTCCATTAAAGGGATCATTTGCTAAATAAGATTACAACTTGCATTTCCAAACACACAGTGGGACAGGTGCTCCACTTTCATTCATTTGTTTTATTTTGCAAGTCAAATAATTTCTAGGAGGTTGTTATTTTACATATTATTGCATTGCACTGAGTTTGGGACATTTGAAATGAAGAGTGTAAAGGCTAAAGTGTTTTTTCATGTTGACATGATCACTTTGGTCAGGCAATAAAATCTGGCATCAAATTGAAAAGAAAACAAAACAAAAAAAGGAATTTCACAAAATGGGCAATATTCAGACGTCAAGGAAGGTTTTTGGCATAAGAGTCTGTAATTTATTGTGCAGTCCTACTTAGAGTTAATATTTAGGCTAATTAAGTATGATGCCATTGATTCAATGGAACTGAGCTCATTCCATATCCGACCATTACTTTGCCAAGTAATGAATAAAAGGCAAACACTGGAGAAGATATGTAAACGACTGCAAGCAGACAAAGAAATGTGAGAAAAGGAGATGATTTTGGTCTTTTGTTACATTAGGCATACAAATATATATATATATTATGTAATTTATTTAATACTTGACAAAAATTGGCACCCTTGAGAGGGAATCTTAGGTGGTCTTAATGGGTTTTCAAGTGACAAAGTTGCAGGTGGGAAAGTGAGAAAATGAGATGACATATTCGATGGCAGAAAGGAACAGAATATTGTTTCCAGCACGATGCGTCCTGACATCTGCTTTCACCCCCCCCCCGATCTGAACTAGTAAAATTAATCTGATCACAGTCAGCCCTGCAGGGAAGGACACATTTTCGTTACACTAGAAAGAGCAAAAGGGCTCATTTGTGATGAAGCATCTTAATAACTTTTTTTTGTTTAGTGAAATTTGTCAGTGCTCTTGATTTTAGTCAAATTAACTATCAGAATGTGGCAGTTTGCCACGTATTTTCTTCCTCAAAATGAGGCAGGTTTTGTGGTCACAGCAATCACTGAAACTCAAAATCCTTGAGGGTCTGCCAAGTAGAATTTAGTGTAAATAAAGCGATGCCAAAGCAACCACAAGTACCTTGGATCTGTAAATGCAAGGCAGTAGATGATTTTGTAAAATTCTCAAATACAAAAAGCTACCCTGACTTAAATCTGACAAGCGAGACTGAAAGTGAGACTGGCAGTGAGGGGAAGAGTAAGCAAAAGAGAGACTGGCATTAACTGGTAAAGTACTCTCCCTGCTCATCAAATAGAGATGCCTGACCCAGTTAAATGTGCTGGTCTGGTGTTCACATTACATGCACAGATACACACACAAACACTGCACTCATGTAGATGAATCAAGAACTTTGACCTTCTTTTGCAGAAAAATGAAACCCCTTCATTTTTTTATTGTTCCTCTCATCACGCCTTCAAATCCGTTTGCGCATAAAATCTCCCTCACAAACATTTATAATTACTTTTGTTCTTTTAGATCTCCCAGCCAGGCTTAAGGTTGTGAAAAGAAAAGAGAAGAAATGGTGCAAAGGCGAGAATGACAGAATGGGGATATGGTGGGGAGGTGGTTGGTGTAAAGGGTTTGTGAAAGGCAGTGAATGCCAGCTGTCCAGATGCCTGTCTCCCATCTGTTTGAACCCCAACATCTAGCTGGCACCTCTTCTAGTGCTTACCACACACACACACATTCAAGAACACAGAAACACACACACCCACTGTCGCTCTCACGCATGCAGAAACAAACTGGCATTACTTCTGACACTAGCAGTGTTAGGCAGCTGTGGGATTAGGCACAGAAATGAGGGCTATCGCTAACCGCTAATCCATTTGTGTGTTTACCTTCATCACTAGGATTGTCAAGATCTCTCACATGCTACTAGTCCCACCTCCTGCTAATCGAAATCCCCCCTTCTCTCTGATAAAGTATCTCTTATGGCCCATTTTAAAACCATGTCCAGCTTTGAGCTCAGCATCCACTGGACAGATTGGCTCCATATTGCTCAAATCCCTCCATTCTCCCGGATCTGCTGCCGTTACCCTCAGAAAAACAGCAGGAGGGGACTTCATTGTCCCTCAGAGCCAGAGGTAGGGTTTTGTCATATGCTCAGTGCGAGTGACTCTGTCCAAGAAGTGCACTCCTCATTATTGCTTGGCGTAATTTGTACCAGCAGTTCTGCCTCACCATGATGATCAATAGCAGTGCTACCATTGCTCTCAATTCTTGAAAGTAGGGTTTCTGAGAACAACATCCCGGTCTTTAGTTTAAGGGCAGTAAACTACCACAATTTGCCTTGTGTTTCTTTTTTTGTTGACTCCGGTGTTAAGAAACCATTGCATTACCATTGTTGTGGTTATGGTATCCTGATATGATTGTGCTATGAATATTTTGCCAATAATGTGCACTTTATCCCTGTTGTCTGGAGAACCTCTGGATAGGACACACATACACTGAGTTGACAAAATGAAATGTTATTCAAATCACAAAGGCCCTTAAGCAGCCAGTATACTTACTACAGAGATGCTCGTGAGATGGTTAAAAAGCTTTGAGAACCCACCTCCCCTGACATCTTTCTGACAATTCATACTTCACACAGTGATTGGCCAGATGTGTGGAAGTTCTCTCTTTGCTCTTCTTTTTGTTATTCTTTACAAAACTGTTTTTTTTTTTCACTTTTCACACAAACACTGGAGTGCAACACTATGAATGTATAGCAAGAGGAAATGTGTGTCATTGTTCCCATATTTAAACAATATTACCTTACACTTCAATGGAATCAGTAATCTGTAAAGTGTATTTATTAAATGTAGTGCACTGCATTACACATCTTTGCAATCTTCTCTGTAGGGACCTGAAACTTGATTGTAAAGGCTGATCCTTCACCGTGAGCAATTTGTTGCTTGTGAAAGTTTCATAATCAGTGTTGCGGTTGATAACAGAGAGTGTTTTGTGAATTGGCGGCTGAACAACAACTTCCTTGATGCCAGAACTGTCTAAGTTCACATTACCCCTTTTTAAAGTTTGCTGGATTTGCAAAACAAGCTTTAGAAATGTTTCTTTGCTCACAATGGCATTACTGCGCAATTAAAACATAACTTTTCCAAGAAAGATATGAAGGTAACAAAATATTCACCGTCACAGCACAAGGGTTAAAATCATGCCAAAGCATCTGTAGGGTTATTTGTGGCTCCGAGTCTCAACTGACAGATCACAAAAATTGGTCATTTACGCGACTGTTCTGTTTTCTGCTATGGATGTAAGGAAGCAGAATACAAATGAGGTGTTTAAATTAATACGCTGCACACTTGGACACACTTGGACACACACCTACGCTGACTCTCACAGATACCAGCATATGTTAACAATGCATTTCGACCAAGTGCATCGGGGAGTGTATATTGAGTTACAATGCAAAGCATTCACCTACAAACTTAATTTGTAGCTGAAGTCTTATGTCTTTGTATATATGTATGTGTGTGTGTGCGTGTGTGTGTGTGTGTGGATAAGATGTAGAGGATGTCACAACAGAGGAGACAGGGGATCAGATTAGGGAGCAGTGCACATCTGTCAGCATGCGGCCTTCTTCAACACCATTAGATTAGAGCTAATGAAGACACTGTGTGCATGTGTTTGTATATTTGTTAGTTTGGGACGTACACACACTCACACACCGAGGAGAAGAGTGGCTGAAAAGAGACACAGAGAGACTGCCTGGAACCAATTCCTTGCTCTGGCATCAGCTGCTCAGGTCTCTTAAATCAGGCAGTGTTCCTGGGGATCGATTAAAAGCAGCGTGACAAAGATTGGTAATAGAGATGTGGCGCACAGCCCAACAGAAAGACCCAGCAGACTGAAATATACAGGGAATTATAGGAGTTTCATAAATAAACAAAACATTTGTGGAAGGGAGAAGTGCAACGATAGCAAGAAGACAGGGTGGGAGAGTGCAAGGGAAAGCGATCTTTCCTCCATGCCGCTCCAGCCTTCCTTTCAAATTAGAACAGCCCCGTCTCCTGAGAATGTGACATTTTCACGGAGCAAGCGAGAGAGAGAGAGAGACGGAGGTTCAGAGAAGGGTGGGTGGAGGGGGGTGGAAGACAAATGGCGAAGGGGGGGGGGGGGGGGGGGG